CACAGGCACATATACACAAACAGATACATGCACAGGCACATATACACACACAGGCACACGCACAGGTAAGTATACACATACAGACACACACAGGCATGGATACATGCACAGGTAAGGATACACATACATACACACAGAGGCATGGATACATGCACGCTGTCTGCCTTTCTCCACATGCTCCAATTCAGATTTCTGCCTCAAGGACAAACTTGAGAGTGACATTTGACCGAGGACAGAATCCAGTTCCTGTGTCAGTATTCAGACAGCAGCATTCTGTCTGTGTCTGTTTCTCCAAGGACACAGAAAACATAAAGTCATCACACTGGAAAAAATATAGAAAGGCTTCTCTGGCCTTTGAAACCTCACACAAAACTAAAGAATATAAGAGACTGGAGGTTACAGGAAGCACTACGAAGAACCTCCTGTGAGGAAATGAACTTGGGGCACAGCACGTAAAGACAGACAGACACACTAACAGACAGTCAGACAGGCAGGCAAACAGACTGACGGACAGACATACAAACTGACAGACAGACACAGATAGTCTGTCACACAGACTGAGTGACTTACAGATTGATAGGCTGACAGACAGGCAGACATACAGACTGACAGGTGGTCAGACATACAGACAGTCTGACAGGTAGACAGAGTGAAGGGCAGGCAGACAAGGCAGACTGACATACAGACAATCTGATAGGCAGAAAGACATTCACAGGCAGACAGACAAGTTTACACACAGACTGACAGACAGGAAGGCAGACAGGCAGAGTTTTGTAGTGCATGTGGGGCTTTTCCATACACTTCTTATATGATTCAGTAAATGACCCCAAACTCACAATCAAATCTCAAAGAAGCAGTTGAAAGCTGATACTAAAAACTAAGTCGGTGGACGGTTTGGTGGTTTTGGTTTTACATGGTGTGGACATCCCCTGAAAACTCCCACAAGGTCGGGTCTCCAACAGGAGACACAGAGCGCAGCCTTAAAGGCTACAAATGGGAACTTAAACACACACACTTAGGGACAGTCTCCCTGGGGGGACTTACAGTGCATCAGCGGAGGCCCAAACCCCCCCCCCCCCCCCCACACACACACACAAACAAACACACACCCACGCATACACTGCCCGCACCTCACAGCACAACAGGGTGACACCTGCGGGAAGGGGGTTGGGGGGAGGCATCAGCTGCCACAAGTAGATAGAGATGCAAAGCTTGCTCCCCCCCCCCCCCCCCCCATACTGCAGCCAAGGCTGGCAGAAGGCCAGAGAGGATGGGTGCGTTGTGTGTAAACATGACCCCCAGTTATATCCTGCAACATCTCTCAGCACTAATGACAGCCCTGCCCCACCACCTCCGTCCCCCCCCCACTCAGACACAAACACACACCTCAAACTTCCCCAAGCCAATGCATGCTTCATCACCCAAGTTGATCCCTACTCAAATGGGGCTTGATGTTCCCTACAGAAACAGGGCAGGGTTATCTCCACAGTAATGAGGTGGGATCTTCCCTACACAAACGGGGTGGGGTCATCCCCACAGTAATGGGGCGGGGTCATCTACACAGTAATGGGGTGGGGTGTTCGCTACAGAAACAGGGCAGAGTCATCCCTAAACAAGAGCCAGTGTCCAGGTTTTGCTGACGAGACCCTGGGTCCCAGGGTGTGCCCATGTGCCAGGAGAGCCTGCTGCAGGTGCCCCTGCCGCCCTGGGACCCCACCCTTCGATTTCTCCTGGCCTTTCTTCCTAGCCGCCCCCACACACACTTACGCTTGCAGCTACTGACATTTCCACTGCTCCTCCCCTCTCTCTCTCACACACGCAATGCTAAGGCCTCACTCGCATACACATATTTCACATTCTGCGCCTCTCCCTCCCTCACACACACACACACACACACACAGACACACACAAATAGACACTGTACACTTTCTCACTTAAATCTCACCCTCCGAACAGGCACCACACTGAGTCTGAAACAAGAACAGGGCCAATGCTTCAACAATAAGAGTGCAGGGGGGGTGGGGGTGGCACTGCCCACGGTCCCGGAAATTAACTCTGATGTGGGATGTTCCATAGGAAATGCCCCTTCTACCTCCCACATTACGTAGTGGTGCAGCCTGAAGCATAGGATGCTGCAGGACTGGGGCAGATGGGGCTGCCACATTATGTGGGGTGGGGTTGGGGGGGGGGGATTTTGAACTGGGGAATCTCGCACGTGGTGGGAGGGGGCAGTCTCTGTGGAATGTCCTATTTCCATTACTAAACATAACAGCCGGCTTCCTCACTGTGTCAACAGGGACACCAGCATCACGCTTACGCCGGCACTGTGACAATTAATAAAAACGCGATTTCGCCAGAAAATCAGTTTGTAGACAAGGGGATAATAATAATAGTAATAAAGAGAGGGCGTTTTGAAAGAATCTTAAAAAACAATGAGCATTTTAACTCCAAACGTACGCGCACATAAGCCTTTCAGAAGCATCTACGCACGGAAAACGCTTCCGTGTCCCGGGCTACCACACGGCAGCTGAAAGCTTTCAAACAAGGGCTTCGTGAAACATGAACCTCACCGCAAATTACCATAGCCTGCCCCTTTGTGATAGATGATGCCAGAATTCAAAAAGTCTTCATCCAACATCTTTATTTTCGCATGGCAATTCACTTATTAAGTTGGAGTTGCGCCTTAATTTTGCCCCATTACAATTCCATCAGTAGTTAATACTCATGAATATTTGATATCAAAATACTGTTAAAGAGCTTTTCTGTGTCTGATTTATTTGCGTTGGTCTCTCCTTCTCCCGCCCGTGTAGTTGCCTTTCCGTGCTACCACACTCGCACTTTGCGAGCAAATTCTCATTGACTGAGAGCAAAACTTACAATTACCGGTGCTGTGCGCTCGGCGGAAAGCTACCCGGATCCGAGGCCGGTCCTCCGGGGGACAAGCGGAGTGTAAAGCGAAGACGGACGGCACTGAGTAACGAGGAATTCACGCATTGACGCCCCCCATTCTGAAGGTGATGATTAAACCCGACTCCCCGAATTGTTACTCGGATTTCGACACTTTAACACATCACCGATCAGTGTGACGAACTAAATAAGAAAAAGTCACGGAGACAGAATCAAAATTCAGCTTCATGACAAAGTAGATGCAAAGTGTAATGCAGGGTGTAAAGACCGTGGAATGAAGTGTGTCTGCCGGGGAGTAGAGTGTGTAATATGTGGATTAAAGTGTATCTACCAGGTGTAGAGTGTGTAATGGTAAATACTCTGTTTTTAGTGAAATGTGATCTGGGGGGCTTTGACCGAACGCTCTGGTGGTGGAGGCAGTGGGAGGATGGGGGCTGAATAACTACACATTTAGCCTATTTTAAGTATGTACGGCAGGCTTAAATTTTACTGTATTACAGACAGGTGCCTTTAAGCGGCAGAGCTCGGGTCCGAACCGGGTCGAGATCGGCGTGGTCCCTTTAAGCAGCGCGCTGCCCATCTTCCACCCACCTGGGACGCGCTTTCGCTCACGGACATTAACGTTTGGACACTGAAACCCCCCGAAACGCGCAAGGTGTAGCGGGGTAACTGGTGCTACTCCAGCACGTAACAAACGAACTCGGTTGCCGGGTTTCCTAATGCGTATGAGGCGGTTAAGTTGGGTGGTGAACGCCGATTAAGTCGCGAACTAAATGAATGACAGGAGTCGGTACGGGGGAGTGGGGGCAGCGTACCTGTTAACCCATGGGGCAGGCTGCAGGTCCCAGCTAAGGTCCCTCCTTTTCCTTCTTCCGCTTTTAAACAGCCCCTGATCGTTGCTCTTCGGCTGTCCGTCCGTATTTACTCCTTTCTCCGTCTTCCCACTCTTCCTGCCGACCTTCTCCTGCCCCTCCGCCCGCCTTAGTGTGAAGAGCTTTTCTCCCACTCCCTATTTCTCCACTCAAGCTCTCTCTCTCTCTCTCTCTCTCTCTCTCTCTCTCTCTCTCTCTCTGACAGTGAGAGTAGAGAGCAGGAAATGAAGCAGTATGGATAGGCTGCTTTCCCCTCTAACGGGCAGCTGGGCACATTGATCTGCCGACCACCTCGTTTAAAGACGGCTTGTTTGCGGGCAGCATCGTTCAATATCTGACTAGAAGACACTGAATGTTCATATCCTGTTGGACTGAGTGTCAATAACAGCACTGAGAGCTTCTGTCACCATCATCATCATCGTCGTTATATTGGTGTTGTTTTGTTGTCATTGTTTTGTTTGGTTATTATTACTAGTAGTAGTAATGAATTTGTTCATGTTAATGTTTTAACTATGATACCTTTGCTACATGGCTGTCAACAGGTTACTGTTTATGAGTGGTATGGATAAGCAGTGCTATTGTGCAGTGTGGTCTTACACTGGCAGTCAGTCTGTGTCTGTGTGTGCAGAGTTCGTCAGAGATGACTGTCCTATTGATCATGATGATTTCGGCTGTGGTTGTGCTTCGACCCTGTGGATCCCCCTACTACCCCCCCCACCCCCCCCCCCCCCCCCCCCCCCCGCCTTGCTGTTTGATTTGACCTCCAGTGACCCCCCTGCCTATGATCCACTCCCACACATTGGAGACAGGAGGCCTTTGCCCCAGAGAGACACCCAGCAACATGAGTGTCTTGGTCATAAATGCCCAGACCATGTGAGCGAGGGGGTCATGTGTCACATGGGTGGGGGTCGGGGGTCAAGAATCGGGGTGCTGGGTTGGCCTGGCCAATGATTGTGAATGGTGATTTACCCTCCCTGGGGCTATAACCAGCGTGAACCAGTAAACATTTTATTATCCAGAATGGTGCACTATGGTCCAGTGTGGCCTTGTATGGCCCAGTTGGCTCAAATAAGCTATCGTGTTATGATCTGTGTATATGCTGTGTGTATGCTGTGTGTATCCTTTGTGTATGCTGTGTGTACCCTGTGCTATGCGTATCCTGTGGGTATGCTGTGTGTACCCTGTGCTATGCGTACCTTGTGGGTATGCTGTATGTACCCTGTGCTATGCGTATCCTGTGGGTATGCTGTGTGTACCCTGTGCTATGCGTACCTTGTGGGTATGCTGTATGTACCCTGTGCTATGCGTATCCTGTGGGTATGCTGTGTGTACCCTGTGCTATGCGTACCCTGTGCATATGCTATGCGTACCCTGTGCATATGCGATATGTACCCTCTGCAAATGCCGTGTGTACCCTGTGCGTACGCTATGTGTACCCTGTGCTTATGCTGCACATAGCCTGTGCTATGTGTACCCTGTGCGTATGCTGCACACAGCCTGTGCTATGTGTACCCTGTGCGTATGCTGTGTGTATCCTGTGCTATGTGTACCCTGTGCGTATGCTGTGTGTATCCTGTGCTATGTGTACCCTGTGCGTATGATGTGTGTATCCTGTGCTATGCGTACCCTGTGTGTATCCTGTGCTATGCGTACCCTGTGTGTATGCTGTGTGTACCCCTGTGCTAAGCGTACCCTGTTTGTACCCTGTGCTTATGCTGTGTGTACCCCATACACTGTGTATACCCTGTGCTATGCGTGCGCTGCCTCCAGGCCACGTTAGATATGTGGCACTGGAAAATGAGCAGAACACAGTTCCTGTGAAAATCAGTGTTTCCATTATTTCCTTCACATACAATCCGTAGGCACTTTAATAGGCATCCCTGCATAGTACCAGGTAGGAATCACTTTTTTCCTTCCAGAATCACTTTGGAGTTTGATGAGTTGTGGACTTTGAGAAACAGTCCTCCACACCACTGTTGTTCTGAACTGTTATTTCTGCACTTGTGATCTTCCTGTTAGCTTTAACGAGTCCATCCTCCTTTGCCCTCAAGGTGTTAGGTCACAGACATGCTGCTGACTGGAAGCTCTTGTCCATCACACTGTCCTCTCTAAACTCTGCACATGGTAGTGCATGAAAATCCCAGCAGGTGCATCTGGTACCAACAATCATATCATGTTCAAAATTGTTTAGATCAGGTGTCTCAGCTGGAATGATCCTTGAGGTAACAGTAACTAGACCACCATTTACTTTTCACCATGTACACCAACACTTCCTTGCAAGTATGTAGGAAAAGGGTAACTGAGCACTGATAAAAGCATCTGGCTTACCTATGCTACATTCATAATTAATTCAATGAGTTGATAATCATACAGTAAAACTGAAGCCTTGGCATTAGCAGTATGGATGAGTTTGTAGCCTGTATATACAGTAAAACTGAAGCTTTAACATGAATAGGATGGATGTGTGTGTAGCCTGTACACACAGTAAAACTGAAGCCTTAGCATTAGCAAGATGGACGTGTGTGTAGCCTGTACACACAGTAAAACTGAAGCCTTAGCATTAGCAAGATGGACGTGTGTGTAGCCTGTACACACAGTAAAACTGAAGCCT